TGCGATCATCTCCGCCAGCTTCTCGAAGAACTCTCGCATGTTCCCCTCCAGCCCTCCGCCAGCCCCCACGTCCTCAAGGCACTTGCTCTTCATCCGCAGCACCTCCCCCTGCTGCTTCCCTCCCAGCCTTTCCCACGGCAGCTCCCCCAGGTACAGCCGCAGCAGCGTCCACAGCAGTGCCTCCACGTCGTCTCGCTTGCTCAGCGGCTCCTTCTTGTGCACCGTCGTCGCCATGTAGGCCGGAGTCCCTTCCGCTGCCTGCACGTCCTCCTCAGCGCGTCCCTCCCCCCCTCCTCTCCCTTCGCTCTCCTCCTACCTGTGCCTGCAACCTTCGCCTCCCCGCGAGGTCCACCAGCGCCTCAGCTGTACCGAAGTCGATGAGGTGAAGCTGATTCTCCAGTCCCTCGCCTCCAAGTACGAGGTTCTCGGGCTTATCAAGTCACTCGCTCCTCCTCCTCCTCCTCCTCCTCTCACCTTGATGTCTCGGTGCACGTACATGGCCGCATGCAGCTCCTCCAGCAGCCCCAGCCCCTGGTAGGCCAGCAGCAGCACCTGCCTCGCCGGCATTCTCTTCGACGCGGGGAGCAGCGAGAGCATGTTGGGGCCCTGCAGGGCCTCAAAGGGGGAGGAGGCGAGGAGAGCGATACCAGCATGCCCGTGACGAGGATGTAGCACCGGTCCTCATGGCAGCCATAGGCCAGCGGCTCTTGCAGGAAGAGTCTGGGGCTCGACCCCTTGAGCTTTGATAGCACGTAATACTCAGTGGTGACCTAGTGAGGGTGAGGAGCAGGAGCAAGGGAAGGCGAGCACCTGGTAGCTCGTCTTCGGCCTCCTCTCTTGCACTTTGATCGCAACCCTCCTCCCACTCGCCTTCCCCTTGTTGCATCGCCCAGTGTAGATGAACGCTTGTGCGCCATGGCTCAGAAACTGAGGGGGAGCCGCATCAGGAGCAGGTATTGCAGAGCCACAAGAGACTGACTGACTGAACTTCAAACTCATGGCTGTTGATCCGCAGCACCTTGATCATGTGCATTATCCAGTCTTGGAAGCTCAACAGCATCTTCACTCACCTCCCCAGCCCTCAACGGGTCGTTGACCTGATCTCATCAGATCTCTGACCTCGCACAAGTAGACACATACCTGCTTCCCCGTCGCCCGGTCCCCTGCTCCCTCCCCTCCTCTTCCTCTTCGACAGCCTCTGACATCTGCTCCATCTCCCTCCCCTCCCTCCCCTCCTCTTCCTCTTCCTCTGCTCTCTCTCCCCGCATTTTCTGCTCTGCTTCGCTTTCCCACCATTCTCACCTTCGTAACTGAGGCAGGCTCGGATCAGGCCCAAACCTCCATGGCGTCGGAGGCCTTGGCGAGGAGCGGTGAAGCGAAGCGGCGAGGGGACGGCCTGCATGCAGCTCAAAGGTGAGAGAGGGGAGCGAACATGGCAGAAGAAGCTGCAGCGACATGCTCTGACGCCGGTGCGCCATGTCCTCGCATGCCTCTGCTCCTGGCTCGCAGGTACCCCGAGGCTCTCCAAGAGTTTGCTGAGGCCCTCCGCGTCCTCGATCAGGTGACCCCCAGCAGCTTGCGCTCACATGACTGACCCTGTCATGCCCTGAGCTAGTTCGAGGCCAACACTCCCGAAATGCAGGAGGAGGAGGAAAGGAAGGTAGGGATTATGCGCACGTTCCTCCTTCAGAACAAAGCTTCGTGCTACCATCGAATGAAGAGGTGTCGATCAGATGTCTCCTCCCTCCACCTTGATCATATACCACAGACATCAAGATGCCATCACAGCCTGCACTTCAGCCCTAGAAGAGGATCCTTGTTGCGATCAAGCGATGCTGCTTCGAGCTCGATGTCACCTTGAGACCTCAGACTGGGCGGCAGCTTACAGGTGCATGAGTGGCAGGCAGGAAGCAGCTGACGCATCGTAGAGACTTCAGTGCTGTACTGGATGCGAAGCCCAACATGCAAGAGGCGAGAGAGAAGATCTCGTGGATCAACACTCACTACCCGGGTGAGTTTCATGCCCTACCTGACCCTCGCTTACGCTCAGCAGCTGTGGTGAGGAGGGCGAGAGATCGACGATCCTCCTCGGAGAATCGATTTGCTGTTTCATTCCGCATTGTTTTTCACTTCGTCCTATCCGTCGCCTGGCTGTCCTCGGCCCTCATGCTCGCTCTCCATGCCTCAGGTATCCCTCAGGTCTTAAGCTTGTCTGAGCCCGCGAAGACTATGTCGGCGACCTCTCGCGAGGATATTTGGCGATTATCACGGCGATCTCGCTGGTGAGCGAAGAGGTTGAGATGAGAGAAGGTGACGAGGGACGCAGGTGGCGGCTTTGCTGGACCCAGTCTACGTTCTTCTCTTCACCCCCTCCACGTCACTCCGATCGCAAACAACTGAGTTTGCTGCCGTCGCAGTGTCAAGAGCTTGCACATTAGGTCTTCCGAACTCCTCTTCTTCACTTTGTTTCCCCTTGCGATCGATTTCCTCCCCTCCTCGCTCTTTGCCCATGAGGTCATACGCCTTGTTCTGACTAGCTCGGGTAGCCATCTGGAATATTTTGGTGCCTGAGCTGCACGATGGCGATTCGCTGCATCGCCACGTCACCAGCAGGGATCGCTTTCTGTGCAACGGACTGGCTGTGAGCTCCGTCATGGAGGCGCTTCTGCTTCATCCCCTTGCTGTATCCGCAGCCTCCCGTTCCCTCCTCCCTGTCTGAACTCCCAGCAGCTCATCGAGCAGTTCGTTGAAGTTCCTCAAGACCCCAAGAGAGTCTGCGCGAGGCTCCGCCTGCTCGCCTTAGCCTGCCGCTTGTTCGCCGAGTACGCGGTAGAAACCTCCCAGCTCTCGTCCGCCTAAGCTGACCGTCGGATCGTTTCCTCAGGTTGTGTGGATGTGCCACGTATACGAGAGGGCGTATGGGGACGTGAAGGTATTGGCTCCTCTCCTCTCTAACCCTCCCCTTCCCTCCTCACCTCCCTCTTTCCTTCGGACCTTCCCTCCCTCCCTCTCCCCTCCTCCCTCCGCTGCTGCCTTCCTCCCCTCCCTCCTCCCTACCTGCATTCCCTGCCCTCTGCTGCTCCCTCTCCCTTCCTCTCTCCCCATCCCTCATCTTCCTCTGCTGCACTCTCCCTCCCCTCCTGTCCTTCCTGCCTCTGCTTTCTCATTGCTTACCTGCGTTGGTTCCATGCAGATATTCGCTGCGTGGGAGGCGCAGCATGTGAACGTGCTTCAGCTCAGTCTGGTGCTTTACCCTGTGGTCGCTACTTTCTTTTTCCATCGTCACCTCAACGAGCTCGAGAGCCTTGCGAGGTCGAGGAGGCGAGCACACAGCAAGTCAAGATGAGATGCTTAGCTCAGACCGACCTTGTTGTATATTGATGAGACCAACTAATGTAGCAACGTAAAAGAATAGAGTCAAAGCAAGCATCTTCCTCATCGGAAGCCTCGCTGTATCATGCGGTAAGCTACTCGCCCTGCCCTGCCAGACTCTGACACGGGAAAGCTTCTTCCATTCCCTGCTTCAGAGGGTATCATATGAGGGGCACTCATCCCCAGAGACCGATAGCCGGGAGCTCCTCCCCAATTTGTAGCCGACAGCATCCAACCGGAAGGCAGGTTGGTATGGCCGAGCACGTAGCTGTCCTTACTGAAGCTTCCAAGGGACGATGGTTCCCCGAAGTTTGATGTTGAGTTGTTTCCCTGTCATCCAAGATGAGAGAAGAGAGATACTAACCGCTATCTCTCATTCCTCTCTTCCCACCGTATCTCATCTCCCCCTCCCCTCCCCCTCCCCCTCCCCCTCCCTCTCCCTCTCCCTCTCCCTCTCCCTCTCCCTCTCCCTCTCCCTCTCCCTCTCCCTCTCCCTCTCCCTCTCCCTCTCCCTCTCCCTCTCCCTCTCCCTCTCCCTCATCTCCTCTTTTGACTTACAAACATTCCCGCGTTCGCTTGTTCCGCCCATTGCGACCCCAGCAAATCCACCATTGCGAACATGCCTAGGCGCTCTAAAAGCGGAATCGGGACCCTCATCCCCACTCGGTGTTCACCGGCCCCGTCACAAGCGTCACAAGCACTGGCCGGCCCGGGCAGCCCGGTCACAACCGTGAGCCTGTGAAAGTTCAGCGGCCCGGGCCGCGACCCGGAGTCCGACCGACTGGGTGCGGCCGGGCCCGGCACCTGCAGTGATGACGGAGCACAAGTCAGTTTTTTAGACTTGTCCTGTGCCAAAGTTGAATGCCGTCTGAGACATTGTAACTGACAAGACAGACAAACCGTAAGACTGGCAGTTTTTGCTCAAGACCGAGTTTAATGCACACGAAACAAAAGGACGTAAGGGTCGTCTTGGTTTTGATTTACAGGAGAGTTTTGCCTGACACAGTGAACGGTTCCTGCGTTATGTGCACAGGCCGACATTCTCATTCCTGGGATCTGCAGTACGGTATACTATCCGATGATCAGTGATAGCTGAGTTAGTGACTCGCGCAAACAGACGCCGGGAGCACCGTACTCGTGACTTCAGTGTACTGTGCCAAAGTCACGCAGATGTCACATCGACCTTAGTTGTAACAAGACAGTTCTTGCTCAACTTGTCACAAGACCGAGCAGATATCACATCGACCTTAGTTGTAACAAGACAGTTTTTGCTCAAGACCGAGTTTAATGCACACAAAACCAGAATTGAGGAGCACATGAGAGATAGACTGTATGCTAGGATGTGAAACCCAAGCATCCAGACATGAGAGGACCTTAGCAAGACGGCTAGGAAAGCCCCCCTCTTCGTCCCACACGCTACATCGTCCGCCTTGCCACGTAAGTCGTCTTGGTTTACAGGAGAGTTTTTGTTAACTCGGCGCTATCTGACTGGCACGGCTGGCATACGTTCCATCCTCCCCCCGAGTTTCTGAAATAGTACGTTACATCGGACGTCAGAAAGTCACACAAACAAGAATGTCAGCAGATCCAAGTCAAGATACGATGATACAACGTCAAGTTCACAGTCATGCTGAGTGGGCAATAACCATTCAAGGATTCAATGATTGTCCATTCTGAAGAAGATTTTCATGCAGGGCTATTAGATGTGCAGTAAGGAGACTCGAAGGGAGATGCATAGCGAGCGGATGCAATGAAGAGAGATAGAGTAAAGATAAGAGTGTCTGAGTTTAGCTTGTTCCTGCTTTGTTTTGCTTGAGGCACTTTTTACCTTCTGCCAGTAAATCCATTATCTGAGAAGAGAGAAAATAAAAGAGAAGACGAGAGAAGTTTGCTCGCCAGCATTTGAAGACCAAAAGATAAATTTTTGAACCGTAAAGAACTTGTGACCAGAGATTGCTGCCGCGAGATTGGAACATCCGTTTCAAGGCATCTGAAGATAATTTGCAGTTGTACCTTGTTCGCCGAGCCGGCTCCTTGTCGGCGGCTGCCCTTTCTCCGTCCGCGGCCGCCCGCTTTGTGGCGGCAGCGGACGTCTCGACTGACAGTGGTCAGTCGGCTGCCTCCGGGTATCGCGTCTAAGGGATTTTCTTCCTCCTGCATGCTCCTGCTGCTTGTTGCTTGATTGCCTGACCCTTAGGCTGCATGTCTGCGCGGCTTCGCGCTTGGGCTGGCGGTGCCGCGTCTGGGTGCCAGCAGTGCTGGTTCTCTTCGGGCTTGTGTTTTGTGTGTGTTTGTGCAGCTTCTCGCTGTGCGCTGTGTGCCTGGAGGTTCAGCTTGTTCCTGCTTTGTTTTGCTTGAGGCACTTTTTACCTTCTGCCAGTAAGCCTAAATT